TTCCTCAAAATCTAGCTTTAAATTATCATTACCCTCCTGCAGGCTGCAGCCATCCCTCCTCCTTTTTAGACAAAGAGAAACACAAGTTGTTACTGCAACAATTACCTAGCTATATATATAGTTCCACTTCCGCAAGGAAATATGTCAGTTATGCTCTTTGCTAACCTTCCTCTCGCTAGCTACGAAATGCTTCCATCCCTCCTCCTATGGAAATGGAACCTAGCTAGTCCCCCGTCTCTTAGGAATTCGTGTTCAAAGCCCCCTCCAATTCACTAAATAACCTCAATTCCATTGTCACAAGCGATCCCATCCCATCAACGTCCACCACGTCGCGACCAAGAACTTGTCCAAGGGACCTGAGGCCTGAGCTGAAGACGATAATGGAGCCGTTTGGCGATGGAGAAACAGGCGAAGGGGAGTCTTAATGAATTGATGATGCTAATAATTATCACCTGTTGATCGAAGCTTATCGTTGAGACAGAGCGATTAATATAATGGGGGTTTTCGTATAATTAATAATAGACGAAAAATAGTTGTAATATGCAAAAACAAAAGACAAATGCATAATAATTCGACGCATGCATAATAAGGGAATATGACCAGATTGACTCTTAGCTCGATGACAATTTAATTTAATTCTCTTGTTACGTACAATTATATTGGTGAATCAGGTGAAAACAAGGGATGTTTTAGAGTGTAGAAGAGTTACGTTGAACAACCTCCATGGGGACATAACATAAGCAAGATTTTAATTTGAGGCTATACCCGTCTGTGTCATACGAGCCGAAACAATCTCTGGAAGCCGACGTGCTTCCTAACGGTCACGTTGTGGGCAAGAACACTAGGCAGGCTTGTAGTGTCCATTTACTCGATGGGAAGGATGGAAGAGGTATGTGGTAAGGACTGGATGGAGTTCAGACCTGAGAGCTGGGTTGCACAAAGATCCAAAGGGAACGATATCTTCAACGATCACGATGGTGCTGATAAATAAGAAGAATTTGAGTACTATTCATGTGTCATCCTACAAGTTTGCGACATTCATGGCTGGGCCAAGGTCAGTGACGCACCCAAAAAAATTTATATAGGGGTGTCCTCTTTCAAAAAATAAAATAAAATAAATAATTAAATAATTCTTAAATAAGAAAAATACTCAATTCGCACAAGTTAAAAACAGTCCACGATGTATTTTCATATTCTCAAAAAAGTTGTAAAATACATTTGGTGTCTACACTGCTCAACAAATTTATCTCGATATATCCTACTAGACAATCATTCACGAACTGCCATATATTCGACTTCTAAATTTGCTCTTGATGTAACTTCAAACTGAAAAAGACACTTTCAACACTTGCCGTACAACCATAAAATCAATACAAATTAAAGGTAGCTTGTAATTAGATTAATTGTTAGGTTTTGAAAATAATTAAAGGTAGAGAATAGATTTTTGCTATTACACAGTGTTTAGAATAGAACAACTAAAAAAAGTTGTAGCCTAATGGAAATTGTATTTATTAATAATACTAGTGTCCCGGGTTTGAATTACCCAAACTACCACTTCTATTCCTATATGCAAACTACAAATGAGAGTAGGATAATCGTTTTTTCAAATTTCAGGGTGTCCCGGGCTATTAATTATAATATTTTTTCTATACGCAATTTACCACCGGGGGTTGGATAATCAATTTTCCAAAATTTAGGGGTGTCCCGTGACACCCCAAATGCCCATGGGTCCGCCCCTGGCCAAGGTCGTGCTCAGGTATGAAAACAACATACACACAAATGAAAAACATAATCTGTTGTGTTCTGCGTAGGTATAAGATTAATGTGGTGGATGATCATCCCATTGTCCCGCAGCCTTCTATCATGATGTTCATGAGATATGGTATGAAGGTCAAGAGTTTCAAGCAGGACACGAGGGAGTAGAACCACTGGCCCTCTTTATGTGTGGAGATAAGTCATAAAAGAATGTTATAAGTTATGTGACGAGAAATCAATAATATTTGTAACTCCATGTACCTTTTACATGTTGATGAATATGCAACTTAATTTGTTAATATGTAGTCGTAAATATGCCATGCATGTACGTGAAATATGTTGAGGGCATACAAAATGCGCTTGAATAAGTTATGGCTAGGACTAGGATGAATTCTTGGGCACAATCCCGAACCACAATTTTAAATAGTAATATATAATTTCTCTAATATAAAGTTGGGGAGTTGTCATATAAATAGCAAACTCAATTGGTATGCAATTTATGAGAAATTGAGAATAATTACTCGCACTGTCCTGAAGAATCACATAATATCATTAACAACTTCTCAATTGCCCTTTAAATTGCACATCATAACCAAAAAAAAAAAATGATTGCTAAAAAATTATGTGCATGAGCTTATGCTAATATATGATGATTTTAGTACGTGAGACTTGCTGGGTTGGCAAGGGTAGAATAGGATGGGGATAGCCTTGATGTAGAAGGGTTAGGACCTAGGGGACCTTTTTTCTTCCTGAAAATAATTTCATTAAGTAAGCAAATGGACAAGCTAGAAAGGAAATACCGCCACCATCATAATACAATAAGGGCATAAAAACACCCAACCAAAAGGCCCATAATAACAGTCCAAAGCCCAACCAGACCCAAGTAACTCCAAGCCCAGACAAGGAGAGGCCATTCCCAACTCAGTTGAAGATGAGGGCTCATGGAATCATTAGCGACCGCCAACAACGTCGACCTTCAACATCCCCCAACAATCCAATAAAGAGGAAAAGATTTGACCTACCAAACTGGAGAATGTCACCAACGATCCTGCCCACCCTGCAAGAGGAACTCCGAGATCACCTCCGATCAATTCTCAAGAAACAAGCGCTACCACCACTTTTCGACATACAAGATAAACACTAGAGTGAAGAGCGGTCCTTGCCTCGTTGACAAACCATGAGGAATAGTCTTTCTTTAAGATCTTCAAACCGAGTTCAAGTCTGGCGGTATTGCATCTTCGAAACACCTAGATTTACTTGGTGAAGCAAGGAGTTAGAAGAAAGATAAGAGAAAGAGAATACAAGCTAAACTTTAAGGTAAGTCCAGCCTTCTTTGCCACTTAGAGCAAAATATCACGAAATCTGAAGAATAAGAACATAGGACAAAGGGATGAACCCGCAAGGGAACATAGACAATTATCCACAAAGAGAAGGGAATAGAACCAACAAAGGGAACCCAAAAGCTGGAAAATGGAGGCAACAGAAAAGAGAAACAAAGGAGAGAAGCCAATAGGAAGAACGAAACTACAAATGAACAGACATGAAAAAAGGAAACAGAGACAATGGCGTAGCTAGACTTTAAGTTGATTGGGTTCTTAAAAATCAATAATACTAAAGTCTATGCATCTAATGGACTTTGAGTTTATTGGGGTTCTTACGTACAACTAGCACCGACGAAAGTATGAGATCTTAAACCTGAAAGATCGTACTAAACCTCATATATCTAACAATTTTTTTGCCCAATTTCTTTTCAAAGTGGAGTCTTCAAACCTCTGTCCTCAACCCTTCCCTCCATTAGTGGGTGGAGGGTTGTCGTTGACAGCAGCCCCGTAGCTGGCAAAAGAAGTTGATGCTCAAAAGATGGAGGAAAATTTCTAGAGATAGATTGGCTTGGAAGTTGGAAGAGAGATGTCGGAAGGAAGATACAACGACGATGGTGAGTCGAAGTCCTCTCTTGAACTCTGCTGCTTTTCTGGATTGGACGACGGTTCTTTTCACGCCAACCACAACGATTCTTGCCTTAGATCTGGATATAAGCAAATCCTGCTCAAATATGGATACGAGCGATTCTTGCTCAAATCTGGATACGATCTGAAACTCATCACCCTACTCGTACCACCTCTACGGCCAGTAGAGTGAATAAATCGTTTTGCGTGGTTTTCATCTAATAATACAAACAAATTCAATTTGTGCTGGAGAAATGATGTGTTGAGCTTTGCACATTAGAATACATAGCACATGGGGCTAGGGATCACAATTATCCACCCACGGGTAATTTTACTAAATTTGAAATAGACTCATTGATTATGGATTAGGTATGAGTGAAGTCCATATGAGTTCGAGAATTTGTATATGAATTTGGGTAGGGTATGAATATTGCTTTCATATTCTAAATGAGCATGGATTGGGTATGGATACCTATTTTACTTGAAAGTATTTTAATTACACGTACAAAAATTGGACCTATGTGTAGAACTTATATAGTTTAAATATCAAAATGTAATAAAAAATTTTAGGTACCAAAATATAATTTTCTATCGATAGTTTGAGGACTTACATGAAAAAAATTCAAAGGTCTTTTAAGTTTAGGTACCAGACTATAATTTATATATTGATACGGGTAGCCCAAATTTATTAGCAAGGATTGAAATACCGTACCGGAGGTTGTACCGGAAAAGTCAGGGGTAGGGTATTTTATGTTAAAACCGTGGTTTAACCATGGTTGAATCGCTTAATACCGCCGGTACAGTACGGTATTTTCTAGTCTAACCACCGATACGGTACGGTATTTCAATCCTTGTTTATTAGTTTAAAATCTTACCTAACCTAAATAAATGAGCACGAGTATAAATTCATCAAATTCTACTTATTTATAATCTATCTAGATTACATTCCAACAACGTTACCTAATAAAATAGCTATGGATACAGATAAAATTTCCATTAATGCTGACGGGTTATGGAGTCAGCTCTGTTCAAAGCCCATCTTAGGCCCAACTGGATCCGGTCCGTTCGGGATCCAAATGAACGCCGAAAGTATGGTCCTCTCCGGCATAAACCTAATCGTGCCCTTCTGTCGCCATTATTTGTGGCAGAAACAACAACAGCCTTGGCAGAGTGGTCTCTAACTTAGATCATAGTCGTCAACATCAGTGGGAGGTATCGGAAAACTTCACGATCTGGTTTAGCAACAAAAACTGAAGAAAAATGTCGCAGACAACGGCACATGCGATGAGGATTATGAAGATGAAGTTTATAACCAACAAGCTCCTTTCGAGGAAACAGTTCGTGGTGGATGTGTTGCATCCAAGGAAAGCAAAAGTTTCCAAGGTATATTGGCCTTTTCGCAGTGTGATTGGCCATTTTTTGTTCTTTCCATTTTTTTTCTTTTGCATCTCTTCTTTTCTTGACTTCAATGAATCGTTCGTTCTTTGTTGTTGTTCAATCTCGAAGGCTGAGCTGAAAGAGAAACTTGGGAGCTTATACGAAATTAAGGATCCAAACACGATATTCGTGTTCAAATTCCGTACTCATTTTGGCGGCAGGAAATCTACCGGGTTTGGGCTGATTTACAACTTTGTTGACAATGCGAAGAAGTACGAGGCCAAGTACAGTCTGATTAGGGTTTAGGAGATTATCTTAATATTCTTCTTATTGATTACGAATGAATCAAAAAAAGTACATATATATAGGGAATTACTAGAAAATCTTAATAGACTATCCTAATATGACTCAAAGACTACTAACCATATATGATAATAATCCTAATAATATTATAATAAATCATTACCTCCACCTTCAGACCAACCTTGCCATCAAGGTTGACAAATTTAACCCACATTCTCGCTTTGATGTCGCAACCGACGCGTTGATTCCCCCATTTCTTTCGCTTTCTTTTCTTTCAATTATGCACCATCCCTTCCCAAGCCATTGAGCCCAGTCGATAGCCTGTTTGAGTCCTAGGCATGCTCCGGAAACACTGCTCATCCTTCGTTTGAAACCCATTGACCTTTTTCTTGTTCAGCCTGCACCCAAGACCTTGTACATCCCACCTTCCTCTTGGTTTCAGCCTGCAACTCCACCTTCTCGTAGCCCACTTCTTTTTTATCCGCTTCAGCCCGCCAAGGCTTATATGAGCTGACTCAAAGCTTGATCCGCCCGACCCGGCGGCCCAGGCACTGGTGCGGCCCATCGAACCCAGTTGTTGTTGACCCAAGGCCTGCGATCTAGGGTTTGGGCGTTGAAAGAACTCGTCGCCGCCCTCCTCCATCAACTTCTTCGACTCCAGCATCTCCTTCGGCCACGAATAGATTCCCCGACGATAAGTCCAGCCGACTTCCGCTGCCTCCTCCTAGTCAGTCGATGTTGTCGCGACAGCCAACCGCTCACTTCGCTGCTCTGTCGAAAATGACCAGCATCCCGCCGCTTCCTTCTTACCCCACCCCGGCATCGAGCCCACCTCCTGGCGAACAAGAGTCGGGACCGGGTCGCGTCTTGTCCCCTATCGCTCCTCCCCTCGAGTTGAAGCCTTCTCCAGTAGCTCGACTATAGTCGTCGCCTCCGCCTCCACGTCGGAACCCATTTCGACAGGAATAATCTCCTCTGCCTCTGCCATCGCTGCGTAAACAGCATCATTCGGCCCTGCCTTGGGTGTCGCTTCGGTCCAAACTGCCGCAAGGGCGACCGTCAAGCCCCCAACCGCCACCTTCCTCTTGGCCCTGATGGCCTCGAGAGTCGCTTCCAGCTGTTCCAGCAGTTTCTTAACGGTGAGTCGTGATGTACTCATTAGGGCTCTTATTGGTAGGAAGCTAACCCTGGTTGAGAGTTGTGACGAACTCGCTCTCGGAACCAGGCTTTGATACCAAATGATAGGAACAAATTCCTATCGGGTTTGATATTTGAGGATTAGGGTTTATACAAACACAATTAGGGATTGAGATTGGGATTTGGAAAAGAAGAAGAGAAAGATATAGAATCGACCTAAGCCTTTAGAGGGATTAAGAACGAGAATTGAGAGGATGGAGAGATTAGGGTTTAGGAGATTATCTTAATATTCTTTTTATTGATTACGAATGAATCACAAAGTAGATATATATAAGGAATTACTAGAAAAACCTAATAGACTATCCTAATATGAATCAAAGACTACTAACCATATCTATTAATAATCTTAATAATATTATAATAAATCGTGTTTCCATCACTGTATAGGGCCTACTTGACCTTTGTATGATTAGTGAATGTAGTCGTTTTTGTTTGTGGTTGAAAGTGTCTAGGGCTTAGTTTGATCTCCATACGATTATTGAATATAGTCAATTTGGTATGACAACAGAATGGACTGGCCACCAAGGTGGAGAAGTCTAGGAAGCAAATGAAGGAAAGGAAGAATAGAGTTAAGAAGATCTGAGGTGTGAAGATGGTAAACGAAGCCAGTACCCTGTTCTTCTTCACTTCTCTTTTATAGTTACATCGTTGCTGGATTTCTTGTAACACCTTAGACAAATCCCACATCGACAAAGCACGAGAGAGATCCATGGTTCATAAGTAAGAAACCGACATGAACTAACAAGACGCGTTTTGGGGTGAAATGGAGAAGTTCTTGTGAGAACTCTTAATTTAAACATGCTCAGTGTGGAGTACAACAAGGATGGGTGACCTTATGGGAAGTTACCCTGAATTGCACCCCAAGTCGAAAACCGTGCGGGTGTAGAGGCCCAAAGCAGACAATATCTTCGTCGGAAAAAGGGTCGGGATGTTACATTTCTCATGTTCATTGACATTTGATTCTGAACTTGCTATTATGCCTATTTGCAGACCAAGAATGGAGATGCGGCCAAGGGAGGCAAGAACAAGTGAGGAGGGGGTTGGATTACAAAAAAGAGGTCTCTGCGCGTTTGAAGGAATGTTATTTTTGTCATTCTACTCCACATTTGTTTTTTCTATAGAGATTAAAGTACCTACGATGGTAACCTGAACTTGGCCTTCTGTTCTTAGATTGGGCTTGATTTGACATTCTATATTTTGATATTCACGTTAAAAAAATTAATGGTCTTCACACAAAAAGAATGTAAAAGCTTCTAAAACTGTGGCTTTAAGCCAACTCTTTAAACAAAAACTTCATGGTAAACTTCATTTTTTAGAAAACTCCAATTTCATTATTGTGTTAGCTAAGAAAACAATGATTTTCTATGATAACATAGTGCATTTAGTAATGAAGAAAATGATATTGTTTAGCAACGACAAAGCTAAGATCTAAGTGTAGTTGAAGAGAGAATAATCCCCTATTTTTTGTACGAGATTATAATTCATGTATTCAAATATTAAGAAAACATTGAAAATATCATATAATAAGAGCTATTAGTCCCTTTCTCTATATGAAATTTAGGTCATACTATTAACGTAAACATGGAGAGCGTAAACAAGTAGAGTGTGAACTTAGAAAAAAATCATAAATGATTGAAAAATATGTTTTTATCAAATTTCATTCAGCCAACGGGCCGCCCACTAGTCTAGTACCATATATATTCAACCCAATTTTTATCAATATTTGAGTACTTCGGTTTTAATAGTTGACATACCATCGTTTTAACAATAGGGGTGGACAACGGGAAACGGGTATTTGGGTATATCCATACCCGTCCCTTTTTTGAGGGTTACGGGTACCCAAATACCTGTAATTATTTTTACGGGATGATACTTGGGATCAATAACTTCTACAATGGGTACCCGCAGGTTACCCGTTAATACCCGTTTGCGTATTATGGGTACCCGTACTACGCATCCACCCAAGCCAAGCCATTAATTTGAAACAACAATGAATGAACATACACTGCCTTCCCTGTGATACGTGATAACATATATTACTGGATAACCTTCACCTGCTTAATTAGGACAACAATTACTACAACTCCATTGCCTTCCTACATTATGTACAAATTAGAAGCAATAGCTTCATTACAATTCAATTTAATAGAAAGAATTCCACTTATTCATGCATGGGATCAGTTGAAAGCCCACTTCCTTTCTCTATTCATTTTGTATAAATCAGTAGCATTAGGTTCACTACAATTCAATAGACTGAATTCCTAAGCCAGTTTTACCGCCAATAAAAGATCAAATAACGAAAATCACACAAATTTATGGGTACCTGAGGGTACCCGTTATCCGTCCCGTATGGGTAATGGGTACCCATTAACCAGTACGGGTTTGAGACATGGGATGAAGTTTCTTCTCCAAATGGGATTGGGTACCCGTTTCAAACGTGTTGATGTCAAGCTTGGAGGAGCCTGCTTCAATGTGTTTGATGTTCGGTGAGCGCCGAATTCCTGGCCAATGTTCACCTCCACCGGCCTTCGATGGACACCTGCAAAAGAGGAACCCACCGACGATGGTCGGCGGGGATCTGCTCCGAAGCTCAAGTCAGTATTGAGAGGAGAGTAACCGGTAACAGCTTATTGAGCTGACTCTTGAGAGAGATTTAGAAGTTCAACTCCAAAATGAACTGTCGAGAAAGCATAAATGAGCATCCTATTTATAGGTGCCTCCTGCTTCTGTGTGGGTGGCGTGTTCGTAAAAATAAAATAATAACAATACATATATGTCAACCAACCAAGATAAGTGCCATGGTTGGTTAGTAGGGCTGTTAATGAACCAAGCCGCTCATGAACGGCTCGGTGTGCGACTCGAGAAAAACTCGTTCGACACTCGATTCGTTTTAATCGAGCCGGCTCGCGAACAAACTCGTTAACTAAACGAGCCGAACTCGAGCCATACCATGTTCAGCTTGAAAGCTCGCGAACAAGCTCATTTAATGGTTTGGCATAAAAAAAGAATTAGAATTCATAGATTTTCTGTATTGAAATTGGGATAAATATTGTGTTTTACTTTGCTACAGGTTTGAATGTAATTTTGTGCGCAGTTCTAGGTCAATCTTGAGCTATCATGAAAATTTTATGAGCCAAACTCGATTTTGGACTCGTTAAGCTTACTTGACGAGCCGAGCTCGAGTCGAGCTCGAGCTTTCATTTTCGTAAACGAGCCGAGCTCGAGCTCGCATGTTAAAGCTCGTGACGAACACGAGCCGAGCTCGGGCCTGGAAATATATTAACGAGCCGAGTTCGAACTATGGTAAAGCTCGGCTCGACTTGGCTCATTAACAGCCCTATTGGTTAGCAAAATAAAGAAAAACGTGTAACTTCATAAGCTTACCTCTCTCCTCATAAAGACACATGTAGTAGCAGTGAAGGTAGTGATGGATTGTAAATTCATTTTGTTACTATTTACCTTGCTTATACGTGCCCACACTTGTCCATCTTGGCACTTGTATTTGGAAACATGAGAAAATGGTCTTTTGGTGGCTTGGTGAGACTTAAAAAAATAGGTAAGCAAGCTAAATCAAAAGATTAGTTGATTAAGAAGAGGGAGTGCCAACCTGCACAATTTTCACCTTTGCCACGTGTAAGTGGTGGTGAAATGGGTTGGTGTGGCAAAGTATCCTAATTATGCCACTTTCTTCACCACGTGTAGCACTAGGGTAAAAGGGAGGTGGCTTGCTTTGGTTATTTGAGATAAATGACAGGAGACAAATCTTATCAATCCTCCACCTCATGTCCAAGTGTATAAAGGAAGAA